AACCAGATACAACATCCCACGAAATCCATACCAGTGCCTTTATTCTCATGAATGAAAGTGGGATTTGAATGACCACCACTGTACACCACACAAGACTATTAGGGCAAAGGCCAGTGAACTGATACCTTCAGTCGCTCGGAGCAATTCAGCGTCTATTGCTGCTCCATATGTTCTTGATATGGGTTTTCTTTTCTTTTAGTAGATTCTGTGTTTTTAAAATAGGGTTTCAATGCTGTTCACTCCTTGAGGTAGCTTTTAAAAGATGACGTTTGGAATTCCCTCCTTTCATTCATTCTCTCACCAACTGCAGTGTCCACGAACAGTTCTCTTGTTTCACCCCACATAAATCTTTCTCCCCAATGGTGTGAAAGACGTCTGTCCTCTGGGCAGGGGAGATTACCATCGAGAGCAGTGGGCTTGAGAACAAAACACAGATTTGCGGAGGTCCTTTACCCAATTCTGTCTCTCCTGAGAGTTCTGGGAACGGGGGCTGAGGTCAGATATGGGAGACAGTATCATTCATGCTCTTTAGTTGTCAGGGGAAGAATGCAATGAGACTTAACACTCTAAAGGCCCTCTCGAGGCAGGTGCAAAAACCCTGTTTTCTATAGCAACACCTTTTTCTATAAGAGGTCACATGAAATGGCATTAAAGGATCCTCTCAGTTCTCACTGCTAGTGCCGGCTCTCTTCTTTGATTTGACAGCTAGAGGCGTGTTAAGGCATGCTGGGATAGAGCAAATATTGTGCCGTGACCATTTCCTCCCGTCCTCTGATTTCAGGAGTGGTGAGTCAGGGGTGTGTGGGTTTTACTTGGATGTATGTTTAGTTTGAAAGGAAGTTGCTTTATTTGAAGACTTGAGGGAATTAAAAGGATAGTTCAACAAAAATGTAAATTCTCATGTCGTTCCAGACCTTTATGACATTTTTTTTTCTTCCGTGGAACCCATCAGGATAAAATTCTAAAGATAACGCGCTGGTCTTTTCTTTGCATGCATGGGAACAGAAGCATCATAATCCATCACCATTTTCACCTCCGATGAAGACCAACTGATTCATTGACTAACTTGACTCAAAGAAATCTTTTGTTCACCACTCTCACTTTAATAAATTACTGTGTAATATTATATTGAAATTATATTGAAATAAATGTTTTCTATTTTACTATATTTTAACATTTAATACCTGTTATGGTAAAGCTAAATTTTCAGCAGCCATTACTCCAGTCTTTAGTGTCACATGATCTTTCTGTTAGATCATGCCTCCACACCAGAAATATCAGATCCAGATCCTGTCAGAAAACATCAGTTTTGTCTGGTAACAGAACAACTAGTCAGAACAACAAGCAGAGTTATACCAAACTGCTTCACAACAACATCCCATAAACCTTGAAATCCCATCTCTTATTCGTGAAGACAAACCCTTGAAACACACAGTCAGAAGACTAAACAACAATGGAAAAATAATTTAAAAAACAACAATATAATATAAATGACTAAACAATGAATAAATCAATGAAATGAGTATGTAAATGGCTTAAATGATTATATACATTTAAATGATTATATACATTTATGATACATTTTTTACATAGATATTTTGTAACATCATAAATTACTTTTGATCAGTTTAATGCATCCTTGCTGAATAAAATTGTTTATTTTCTTTGCCAAAAAATCGTAAATACCACAAAACTTTAAACAGTAGTGTGTATATATTGTATGACCTCACAAGACTTTTATATTGTTATTTTATTAAGCTTCAGTCCCCATTATAAATGCAAAGAGAAGAGTATGGAAAATGGTCTTCACTTGACAATAACCGTGGAACACACAACACTATTTATACACTCATACACTTATTTATCTAACACATACTTAGTCTACACCTCAAATTTGCACATAATATACCTGTACATACAAAACTGTCTATTGTAAAATACCTGCACATACAATTGTCAATTTATATATTGTTATTCCTTATTTACTTGTTTCTACATTTTTTTAAATTCTTCTTTTATTATCTGTGTTTTTGTTCTGTCGCTGTCATTCTGTTGTACTTGCAGAAGCTTCTGTCATGAAAACAAATTCCTCATATGTGAAAACATACCTGGCAATAAAGCTCATTCTGATTCTGATTCATTCTGATTCTGATTCTGATGTTTCCTTTTGTTTTCTGCAGAACAAAAAAAAAGTCAAATGGGTTTGTAAATGTCAATTTTACTTTTTGGTTGAACTAACCCTTTAAGTATTGGCATTGGCAAGTATTGGCATCTAATTTGCTAAATACAAACAGACTGCAGGGGCTGGAAGTTCTAAGTTTTTACGTTGGAGTTTTTTTTTGTTAATTGCTTGGGCTTGTATCAGCACAAAAGCCAAAGCATCACTTTGCTCAGCATGCTCAGAGACTGCAACTGTCCTTTCCCTGAGCTGGACAGTGAAGGAAGTCCTCTATTCTTCTCTGTAATGTAGGCCAGATGGCACAGTGCCATGCTTTGAGACATTCACAAAAAGGGAAGGGGAATTAAGCGAATTGTGGGGTAGTTAGACCGTTTAGAGAGCAATGAAAGATTTGCCAGTCCATTCCTTTACAAAGTTATAGAGTTATCCACACAACAAGCGAGGGAGGGCCATCATTCTGGACGAGTCAACAGTTGACTCTCTTGTTACAGGGTTTTTGGCTGAAATTTCCCAAGCTGCTTTGCTCTGCTGTACAGTAACTTGGTGGAGTTCATTGAAATGCTGATTGGATTTGCTGATTTATTTGTACGGACTGTAGTGAAGAACTGCTTTGAGTTACCTATGAGCTCCAAAGTTAGGATTGAGAACTGAATCATTTTCAGGATGTTCGGTTCGTTTAATGTTTCTTAAACATCTGCATTCATCCACTGATGTGGACAGGACAAAGTTGTAAACTATTTTTACAGCGTTTCCTGATTCTAGTGTTCCATGTCAAATGTTATTGTTTTAGATGAGATATGAGTTTGCTGTCTGAATTGAATGTGAAAGATAAACAAACAGACACATCTTGCTTTTGGATTATTTTTGCAGATTGCATGCACTAAGAAATATAAAGTGTAGCTCAATTTGTGACTTAATGACTTCTGAGAATTCTTATAGTTATTAAATTGGCATCTCATTTACTCTCTGAACTAAAAGTTGTATGTTTTTCATATGCAACTTGAAATATCCAAACATGATGGTACTGTGTTGTTTAATGTTTGTGAGTTATTGATTGTTCATATTACAATGTGAATGTAAAGATCCATAATATTCAGAACAGTGTTTTCTTGCAAAAAAGGAACATACAGTTGAGGTCAAAAGTTTACATCCCCCTTTCAGAATCTGCAAAATGTGAATTATTTTACCAAAATAAGAGGGATCATACAAAATGCATGTTATTGTTTATTTAGTACTGACCTGAATAAGATATTTCATATAAAAAATGTTTACATATAGTCCACAAGAGAAAATAATAGTTGAATTTATAAAAATGACCCCCCCCCAAAAAAACATGCATTAATAACTTTTGAACAGAATGGAGATGTGTAAATTTTTCTTATTTTGCCTAAATATCATATTTTTCATTTAATACTGCCCTTCAGAGGCTACAAAAGATAGTTACATGTTTCCCAGAAGACAAAATAAATTAGAACTTCAAATTCAAAAAGTTTTCAAAATTTCAAATTCAAAAGGCTCTTAATGCGTGATTTTTCCTTCTGGTGCATCAGTGAGCGTTTGAACCTTCTGTAATAGTTGCATATGAGTCCCTCAGTTGTCCTCAGTGTGAAAAGATGGATCTCAAAATCATACAGTCATTGTTGGAAAGGGTTCAAATACACAAAATGCTGCAAAACCAAAGAATTTGTGGGACCTGACGGATTTTTCTGAAGAACAGCAGGCAGTTTAACTGTTCAGAACAAACAAGGGACTCATGAACAACTAGGCTATCACTAAACAAAAAAACACAGCTGTGGATCATTCAGGTAAGAACACAGTAATGAGAATCACAGTATTAAACTTTTGAACGGGGTAATTTTTATGAATTCAACTTATTTTCTCTTGTGGACTATATGTAAACATCTTTTATGTGAAATATCTTATTCAGGTCAGTACTAAATAAACAATTACATGGATTTTGTATGATCCCTCTTACTGTGGTAAAAGAATTAACATTTTGCAGATTCATGACCAATGCAAAATGTAAATATGCATTAAATCGATCAAAAGTGACAGTAAAGACCTATATAATGTTGTATTACATTTATAATTTTAGCATATTAGAATAATTTCTGAAGGATCATGTGGCACTTAAGACTGAAGTAATTGCTGCAGAAAATCTAGCCTTTCATCACAGAAATAAATGTTAAAATGTATGTAAATAGACTATTTCCCAATATTAAAGTGTTTTTGATCAAATAAATGTAGCCTTGCATGATCTGTTTTACTAATTCCAGAGACACAGTGAACAGGAATACTTGTGTATCTCCACTGGAATGCTCCAGGTCAGTCTGAGTTTAGGCCTGTAAGAATAGAGACTAGTTGGGTCAGGTCCACATTGGTACCTGGTGCTGACTGATGTCATGATTTTATCTTGCTTAGGACTTTAGAATGTAGAGTCACTGCCTATGAGTCTCATGTCTCCTATTGTTGGGGTAAATTTACTATGTCCACAAAACACATTGAGTTAATGCGTACTCTCCTGAGGCAAGTGTCACCACAGTTCTCAGAGAGATTTTTTCCTCAGATTATCATTCCTTTGCCCTTTTTTATCTTGAGTCGAGTGGCTGGAAATCGTCTCACGGAATACAATGCGACCGGCGGTCTCTTTTCAGTCTGCCTGCCGCTAATTGCGGGACAGGCACGGCTCGACTGATGAAGGGTCCCTTTGTCATGCTCAGTGGTCCTGTTGAATCTAAAGGTTCTGATGTTGCTTGAGGCAAGACGTCACCCCTTAGATAATTTCTTACTTCATTACACAGGATTACCATGTCAATTTAAGAAGGGTAGGTTATGGTTACATATGAGCATATAGAGATACGTTGACTTCGTAGGTCTGTTTTATCAGCAAAACTTAGACTTCTCTTAGTCATTCTTACAAACAAGCAAAAAAGTTGGTCACAGTTGGTCTGCTAATCCTTAAGTATTGGCTTTTTTTTAGCAGTCAGTCACCAAACAACAGGGATTCATTTTGAAGCCAGGACCGTTTCGTTCCCCATGCTGTGGAATTTCATGCTAGCTTTGAGTCATACTTTCAAAGAATATGTTTTGAAGTTGTACAGTTATACGGATATTCATATAATATCTGGGGTTTTCCATTAAGACACCATAAAGCATAGGTGGGATTATGTCAATGTGTGTTTTGACATAACTGGGAATTTGTTTTGTGTGTTTCTAGCGTGTTTCATTTGAGTAGCTCTGTGTGCCAAGCACCATTTCTTGTTTAGTTCACTCTTGTTTTGTATCAGTGAGTGAAACTGTTTTAAACCTAAGATGATAAGCAGAGTTAGTTGAGTCATTTTCATTCAAGCATGTGTATATACCAGGCCCACACAGTATTGTTTTAACAGATCCCTGTTCCAACAGTTCTGGAAAATGCTATCTACATCTCTGCCGGTGATTCATGAGCCTGGCAATGAACAGGCAGGAGAATCAGAATGCAATGCTTTGACCACAACAGAATGTTGATATTGCGATATGTACATTTGCGATATTTCGATAATTTCGATATATTGCACAGCCCTATTGGAGTGTTTTTATTTCACTATTATTCATGCAAGACACAGTATCAGAAGTAGACTAAGAGTGATGCCTTGCTTGGACATGTGAAGCTTGACATTAATACCGTGAAGCTCCTTTGAAACAATCTCTATTATATAAAGCACTATATAAATACTTAGATACTTACCTGGCAGGGGAGACACCATGATCAAGAAGGTGGTTCACCCAGGGCGAGGCTCGGCCATTGCACTCCGGCCGTGCTGACCCCTGCGAATTCCCCAAATGTGGGCCGACAGGCATGGGGGGGATTCCC